TTCCCAGATTGTAGAGAATTCAAAGCTCTATAATGGTAATGGTACTTAAACAAAAATTCATTATGGTGAAGTTTTAAACTACATTGTTCTCGTCTGCCACAGTTTTATTTGTGACTTTGGTTTGTGTTGTTCCTGATACATTTGTTGTAGTGCATAGAGAAGCTACACTACTTGCCTATCAGACCTGCTGACTGCATTTGTCTCTTTGAAAACTTATAAGGATTCATCTCCTACTAGAAAACAGGTCATTCTCATATATTCGCTTACAGGTGTGAAGAGTACCCTGACAGTGACCGCGCAGAAGATGCTTGAGCTCTGCATCGACCGCTTTGCTGAGAAGGAGGACAAACTAATGAGGCTAGAGAAGGCCATCAACCCACTCCTGGATGATGATGATCAGGTGAGGTTCAAGGGATGATTTTCACTCTCAAAAGTTTGTAGTTAGATAGTATATTATTTGGTTCATTATAAGCCTTTTTTTTCTCTCTGTTAGTCTCTCGTATTTCTTTTTGTTTTGTCTAGAAATGATTGCAATGCCTTGCTGAAGTGGTACCTTTTGAAACACTGATATGGATTTACAGATTTAATTGCATTAACAATTTTTTTCAGGAATGGCCCTCAAGCATTGTTAAGCTCTTTTTGAGAAATATCTTTCTGTCCACAGGTTGCCTTTGATTACATCTTAGATAACATAGTGAACCAGAAGCTGTTCTCAATGCAGGAGTCATGGCCTTTCATGAAACCTGTGAACAAGAAAAATGTTAAAGACTATTATGAAATCATTCAGAATCCTATGGATCTTTCAACAATTGCTAAAAAAGTGAAAAGTAAGTACTGTTAGAATATGTGCAATATGTTTTATAGATATACTCTTTTATTTACTTAAATTTATATGTAATGTGTATGTGTATATATATATATATATATATATATATATATATATATATATATATATATATATATATATATATATATATATATATATATTGTATATAGTAATGATAATATATTTTTACTTCTACTTTTACCATGATGATTAAAGACAGAGAGGTCATGGAGTTTCTCTTCATTATATTGTATAATAGTACTACGTAATCAGTTACCTTCATGCTTGTGAGTTATTAAGCCAAATCACAAATATTCTCACCAGATCATAAGTACCATAGCCGAGCAGAGTTCATGGCAGACATGGAGCTGATCCTGACCAACAGTGTGAGATACAATGGCCAGGACTCATCATTTACACAAAAAGCAGAGACTCTCCTTCAAGTGTGTAAAGAAAGCTTGGCTGAGGTATGTTCAGTGCTCTTTTTTTCTTCTACTTTTAGATCTGAGTGTAACAGTTTTACATTAGGTGTAAGTAAATAACTTGTCCATGGCAGGAATTTGGAAACCACAAAAATATCCTACTTGCTAACACATCCCATTGTTTTGACAGTATGAGACACACCTAGACAGTCTGGAAAAGAAGATATCACTTGCGCAAGAACGCGCATTGGAACAGGCAGAAACAGACTCCTTAGGCACCTCTCTAGGCCCAGATGATGATACTAACTATACTTATGCTGAGCCAGAACAAGATCACCCAGACCAACAGCTTGGTTCTCCTTCTGATAACATGATGGGTTATTCAGGTTTGTATGGTTAGTCTTGAATAGTAATGTTGTATAAATCTGAGTCGAGTGAAAAAGGAATGATTGAGCTGCCTGATTTGTTTTATATACTGCAGTTTGATAGTGAACATGCATATATGTGACATCCTTGTGTGACTATTTGCCTTTTTGTCTGCAATAAGAGATTTGCTTGTCTTATGTGCTTTCTTGGTTAACTCTCATACACCCGGTTGATTTTTTTTCAGGAGATGAGGACGATGAGCATGTGAATGTTGTTGATGGTGATGAAGAGGATATGATGCCATCAGCCAAGAGAAGAAGAGTTCAGGAAAGCCAGAGGAATGTACTTGAAGAAGGTATGGGAATTAAACCTGTAGCTGTTGGTACACACAAAGCTCACACTTACAGTCATTCTTGTAACTATACTTGCATGCATAAATGTTCTCAATAAGTTTGATATACAGACTACAAAATGAGACAAGACAGCCAAATCCCAAAGCTCATTTGGAAATTTCTCTTTTCTTTTTTTTTCAGATCTTGAGTTTAGTGATGATGAGGAAGACTTTGGGGGCAGGAGGCCAGTGGAGATGGAAGGGGACTTAGCAGCTGGAATGGTTCTGGAAGAAGGACAGTACATCAACCCACAAGGGCCTGATGAAACCCAGGGTGCTGCAGAAGCCATGGTTCAGTTGGCTGCTCAGTACTCCTATTACCAGGTAAATTATGATGTATATCTTAACTTGATTTAAGAGGAAAGGGAAAACAGTCAAAAGTGATTTTCATTTCTAAATTCTATCCTGCTTAAATGCCAGTTGGTTTTGCTTAAAAATTGATTAAGAATATCTTTCTGTGGCTAATCTGTGTTGTAATTTACTATCCTCTGCAGGGTGAAGGAAGTGGAGACGAACATCAAGATGGGTTAGTTGGGGACAACTCCATGGTGGTGGATGCTAGCTATGACCCCTCGGTAGAGTTCCTTGGTGGAATGATGCCTTCACAGGTAAATTTAATTATTATTATTATTTTTTTTTTTAAGGTCCAGGCCTGGAAATATATTATCTTCAAGGAAATATTGTTTCTTATGGGCCATATATATTTTTTCCATCTTCATCTGATCTCTTTTTTAAAGGATCATATTTTTATTGTACTCCCTTGACTTATCCAATATATCATCTTTACCTCTCTTCTCTTACTCATTTCCTTCCTCCCTGTCCATACGCTTTTCATAATAGCATCTTATCAATTGTTTGTCTGTTCCCCAGCCTCATGATGATGCAACTATTAACAACGATTTGGAGGTGTCCGACTCAGACGATGAGGCTGGCCACCAAGCACAGCAACAAGTGCAAGAGCCTCCACCGGATGAAGAAGATGCACTTTGGTTCTAGGGTTTCGTCTCATTGTCAGTCAGGATCTCCTTTCTGCAGTAGATGGCTGACTCAGTTCAACACTCATACAAAAGAAGTACAGAAACAGAAAGAATGGATCTCGTTGTTTAGGGAATTTTGCATAATTTTATTTTTCAGGCTAAATCAGGCAAGAATACCGGGATGGAGATAGTGAAAAAATTGGAATGAATGTCTTCTGTTATAGTAATATTTTTTTGTTATTTATATTTTGTTTGTTGTTCTTAATCACTGACCATTTCGAAGGTTTCTTTTTCTTAATATATTCCACGGGTCAGGGAGAATGAATAATGAGGGTAGTCACATTTATTTTAGAAACTATTTTCTTGATTGAAGTATTTCCTCTGATGCAAGTAGTATGTAAATATATTTTTCTACTCTGTTAATTTGAAGAAAAAAAAAAAAGAGGATAAGAGAATCATGTTTTAATTTATAGTGTAATATAATTTCTAATGAAACAGGAATAGAAAGCCAGTGAAATAGACATTTCAGAATATTATTTATTATGATTATCGTTTCATTTTGTAGTGTTGGTTAGTAGTGTCATGCTTTCCAATATTTGATGTGTTCATTCATGTGAGAACTTTTGTATATAGGTGAAATCTAGGAGCAGTAAAAAAGATTGTTAGTTACTAATTGTTTCCTTTTGTATTCCATGGGGAATGGTATTTATGTGAGGCTGTATATATATACTTTTTTTTATGAAGACCAAATGATTCTCACAACCAGCATATCGACCTATTATCAGTTGTCACCAGCCTGTGAAGTGCATTTTCACCTTGATTTTTAAAGAATGAGTAAAGTAGTTGGTGTAAAATTTGCTGCATTGTAGATTTTAAAGAAAAATCATTCCCCATGGCATAACAACATTTATTACATCATGAATTATATCATAATTTTAAAAAATGTATAGGAAATATGTAAATGGATACATGTCTTTCTGCTTGCCTGGAAATTATTCATATATATTAAATTTTATCAGATACTGTTTTGACAACAGTTACCATTTTGTGTCTATATTTTATAATTACCAGATAACTAGGATTCTGATGAAATATTTGAAGTCTAACTTGTAAGAGGACTTTAATAAAATGTACAAATTTATAAAAAAAAAAAAAAAAAAAAAAAAAAAAAATTGTTTTAAAACCTACTTGATATCTGCTTCTGAATGGACATTTGAATATTCTGTTGTTTCTTATATTTTTATTGTTCTCTAGGGACATGTGAGGTTAGAATAACTACTTACATACTTTCTTTCAAAGAATTTGGAGTCCCTTAACCCATTGCCGCTGGGGATAATGAACAAAAAATGGGGAAAATGCTGTGCCTATTTTCTATATTTTTTAGTGAAATGTCTGCCCGTAGATGACTGTTAGTGCCTGATTTGAAATGGCGGGAAAAACGTATTTTTCATTAGTGCCATGAATATCAATGGTGTTATTTTTATTATAAACATTATAATTATTATAATGTTTTTTAACATTAGTAACAGCAAAATAAGATAATGTAAAATATTTCGTAAATCAAAGAAAAGGGTGAACGGGCGAGACAGGCGGTACTCGTAACTGGCTCATTGGTGATTTAGTACAAGTGTAGCCATTTATCTGTAAAAACAATCCAACAAGTAATCTCACAGTGGGCATGACATGGCATGCCCGTCAGCAATGGGTTAAAGTCCAAGCCTGTACCTCAAGTGTCTCATGATTAATCCAGTATTGTCTGTATATATAGAGTAACAAAGGTATTAGACAGTGCAACAGTGTTTCTCAATAATTTGTTTAATACTTATTATTACTTTTTCACATGAAAGTTTCTTCCTGGTAAATCTAGCAAAACTGCATTAAAAGAATTCTCTTCATTCATGCTCATCTACTTCTTTCAGTATAGTTTACTTACACTCCTCAAAACAAGACACTGTCAACTGTAGTCATACTAGTGAGCAAATAACACCAGATACAGAGGAGGTAAATCTGTAAGGTAATGTGTTCTTGCATTTATTTCAGAGCTTCATTCATGGCATGCAAAGTCACCCATACACAAGTAAGAGAGCAACTACAGGTCATGAAGTGGATGAAATTTGCTTTCTATCCATAATTGGTTTCTTAACACTCTCCACATAGTTATAATCTGGCATTGTTACCATTGTGAGTTATGTAGCTGGAATGATTTACAAAATACATGATAAAAAAAAAAAACATGAACTCGTGTCCTGATTTATTCACTGAACTGTCATGACAAAAAAGTTGATTATCAGTGATACCAGAAAAGATTCACTTTAAAATGCCACAGCTAGATCAAATATGCTGTGATAACTGATAACTGTTATGACAACCATAATAGATGTTCAAGCAATTATTATATTAAGTAGAGTGCATAAAAATAATAAACTTGTACAATACGCATAGGAAGATATGCAAGCTGTGCCATGTGTCCCCTCTTTAAGAAGGCCATCCTGCCTAAACCAACAAAAGTTATGGATTGCCACTTCACTGTCAGCTCTAACCACAATAAAGTCATCTGTTGCTAAATAAAGTAAACTAATCCCAATCTAAATAACATTCTTAATTAAACTACAAAATATGTCTACACTGGTCGTCTTGCACTGAACCGTGTGGAGGATTATTATTATTATTATTATTATTATTATTATTATCATTATTATTATTATTATTATTATTATTATTATTATTATTATAATAATAATAATAATAATTATAATAATTATAATAATTATAATAATTATTATTATTATTTTAAAAAATCAAATGCATAGTTAATTTTATACTCACAACCTAAATCAAACAAATTAAAATAAACACAATAAACATTCTCACAATCATTTTTTTTCTTTTTTTTTGTAATATTTCCCTTTCTCTTAAATAATGCTTCTGTATTTCTTAAACCTGAATTAAGTTAAAAAGGACAACATAAGATCATACAAAAGCATGATGTTTGCTAAGATTTCTAGTAAAAAAATAAAATAAAATAGCACCACAAAGTATGTAAAATTTTGAAGAAAACAAAAATGTATAATAATAATAAAAATGAGCAATATAACCCTGTAATAAAAATGTAGAATAGATTTTAATTTTTGAATGACCACTATCACCATCTCTCTTAAGTGTGTGCCCATTATCTGTAACATACTGACTGCCTAGATAATATTTGATAATTCATAATAATTCCACTGAAAAATCAAAATGAAATTTTGTTCTTTTTCATTTTTGTTCTAAAGAAAGATCCTCCTATTACTCAAGAGAGAGAGAGAGAGAGAGAATTTGCTGCATAATGTTAATAACAAAGTCAGTTCATTAAAATGAACTGTTCACCATTTTTTAATTAAAACAATTTTTTTTCCAGTTTCTCCATCAAGAATCTAAAATCAGCAATCATTCCTGTGCTTCATAATAAAGCTACATAAAAATTTCATATTAATATTCTTAAAGTACAATGACCACAAAAATGTCACTTCATTATATTCCAATCAGCAGTACTGACCTATTGACACTTGGGTATATACAGATAGTCCCCTACTTAAGAACATGCTACTTATGAACATTCCATACATACAAACAAAATTTTTTAAGTACTAAAGTCCAAAAAATTGTTTGAAAGATGCTAGCAAACTTCAAATTTCCCGGGCGCGAATATAGTTCAAGAGTCTGGTACTGTATAAGGTATGTCATACTTATTGGGATTATTTACAGGTATTCTTAATGTAAACAACTTTAAAACAATGGGAAAAAAGGTAATGGAGACCCGACTTTCAACATACAAACAAATCAACTTACAAACAGCCTCTCGGTCCCCATTATGTTCTTAAGTTGGGGACTTACTGTACTATACATATGTGCCATGTCTACTGTTTTTTTTTTGTTTTTGTTTTTGTTTTTTTTATTGTTCAATATATACTTAGTCACCAATAAATCAGTTATTAGTCTTTCTTGATCTCACTTGTTTACCCATTTCCTTGATTTTTAGAAAACTTTTTTATGTTATTTTTATAATAATAATAATAATAATAATAATAATAATAATAATAATAATAAGTAATAACAATAACAATCTTAATAGTATTTGGAAAATTAAATTTCCCTGAAAATACAAGGAAGGGGTAAATACAGTAAGGTTAGTTAGCCCTACTAACTTATTCCATTTGTAAACAAAATTCACAAAACAAAACTACAGTGTACAGTATAAGTTGTTGGCATCAATGGGTTAATTTTCAATCTAAAATATATTAATATCAAATCACTGGAAAGTCACCATTTTTGCAAGTCTGATGCAACTTGACAGCAAGACAGGAAAATGTAATAAATTAAGTACACCTCAACATTCATACTCTTCACAGTTATGGAAGACAATCCCAAAAGAAAAGTTATTTACAAGTACCTTTACTAAAATATAATATTGCAATATGCCCCATTAACACAAAATAAAGAAAACACAACAGTACTATATAATGTTAATTCATGGTTCATATTTAGTGTAGAAGTGAACACAATATCAGCATGGAAATGGCATGGTTATAGGCAAATATACCAATTAATTTGCTGCAGCAAACAATGGACAATGGAAAGAGGTATTTCCTTTTCTTTTCTCAGATCTTTGATATGTACTTATAATACTTCTTCTGACAGATATTCTTATTATAGAAACATAAATATACAACAGCTACCAAAAAGGCACAGCTCTATCACAAAGACATTTGTTTATGCTGCAAGCTGGTATTGAGTCATAAGTCTTATATACATATTAGAATTATTATACAAAAAAAATCGATCACAGTCTCCATCATAAAAAATATACAGTTTATCAATCCATCTCATACTCATCATTAATATCATATTATATTTATATGTATATATATTCATTAAGAATATAATTTCAATACTACAGATTTCAGCCTAAAACACAATCTATGAACTTTGAACTGTCTGTTCTTCTTCTTCTTTCTCTTGAATAGATTCACTAAGAACAGTTACCTTCTTTGGTGGAACATTTGGGGCACTGGCAGCATTTGCAGCCTTGGCTTCTTTCAAGATTCTTTCAGCACCTTGCTCCAACAATGCAGTGGCCAGATCAACTCCAAGTTCATGTGCTTTTGTCATGTTTTCAGCATACTTTGGATGGGGCACAATGCCACACAGAGTAATGGAGGTCTTTGCCATTTTTGCAGGAGGTTGCATGCCATCAGTGGAATCAGCTGCCTGAAGTGACACAGACTGGGTTTTGAGAAGTTCCTCTGATCCATCCAGACTCCAGACTCCACCTTTCAGCTCAATACTGTCATCCGTTATCTGGAAATTTGTCAAATATGATTATAAATATCGTAAATATTCCTTGCTAAAATCATACTAATATTTAGATGATCTAAAAGTCACCACTAAGCTTTACAATCTCCTTACCCTCAGGGGCACTGACACAGATACATGCACACATGCACAAACGTATGCATGCCCACACACACACATAAATATCCATTGCTAAAATCATACTATTATTTAGATGATCTAAAAGCCACCACTAAGCTTTGCAATTTCCTTATCTGACACAGACACATATGCACCAACACATGCATGCACACACTCACGCACGAACAAAAAAAACAAAAAAAAACTTGCCTTTGTATGAGCTGCCACAGGCGCAGAGCAACCACCCTCCAAAGTCCGCATGAAGGCCCTCTCAGCTGTGGTAGCAATCATTGTCTGGGTGTGACAAAGTTGGCCTAGTAGTTCTATGGTGTTGGTGTCTCCTTCTCGACACTCCACAGCAAGCGCTCCCTGTCCCACAGCATACATGCAGAGGTCATCATCCAGATACTGTAAAGAAATTAACAAAAGAAGTCAAAAGATTAGATAATTTCAATACTGGAAAATAAATAACAGAAGTAGTCAAATGATGTAACATTCTTCTTGACCAAAATGGACAAAAAATAAATGTTGATGTATAAACAAACCAAAAAGTAGATCGAAAAGACCATACTAAAACAAAACAAAAAAAAAACTTTACTTCCAACCACAGAACATTACCTGAGAAATTCTGTTCTTCCATCCCATCCTAACCACCCCTGCAACAGCCAGAATCAAAGCTGCATAGTCATCTGCTTCATCAAGTTTCCGTAAGCGTGTGTTCAGGTTCCCTCTTACACTCTCAAATTTGAGATCAGGAAATCGTCTCTTGAGCTGAGCACCACGCCGTAGAGAGCTGGTTCCTATATAAGGCGAATTATCAGTATTAATAGTTCTTTGAAAGCTAACATAAGAAAGAAAACTCACTGATTATTAAAACCTATCACAAGTAATTGGTTTGTTATAGCCCAGTTTTCTACTCATTCTCTAACATTCATATTCATTAATACTGATCGTGAGTTATTGTCAGGATCGTCTAAACCATAAATACCTAACAAATAAATATTGTAAATACAGCGTATGGGCCTAAAGTTCCTAATGATAGACATTATACTCATGTATCAAATTCCAATTTTCTACAAAAAAAACAACAGACTTACCAATGACAGAGTCTTTAGGAAGTGAGTCTAATTTGCAACCCGAGTACTTTGGGTGCATGATAACTGCATCACGAGGATCTTCACGTTCACAGATTGCACCGATGACCATACCATCAGGGAGTGTGGTTGGGAGGTCCTGATAGAGATAAAAATATAATATTTCAGAATGGCGTGATTTCTCTTACAATTTGTGATTCTAACCATCAACAATTATGTTGAAAAATCAGGCTTTATGTTTTTAATCTAATTCAAATTTTTCTAAATATATTAAGAAATGAAATACATAAGTTTTTAATTATGAAGATAGGCCTGTGTTATGATGATGGACAAATGCATCATTCTCAGATGAATACTTCTACATTCACTCTAAATTATTAAAATGTGCCTTATGGAAGAGTAAGAATCAAAGCTGAAAAATGTAGCCTGAGAGAAAGAGATGATGGAAGCTACAGGAATAAGTAAATACAGGAGACTCGGAGAAAGCACTCTTGAAAGTTAGCTCCACAGATTCCCCTGTCAGCTCTATTGCCACTGTGATGAATTTAAAGGGTTTTATCGAGTAATCCATTCCACTGGCCTTCACTTGTTACTCTCTCCCTCTCCTCCATCATATTCTCTTTCCCTGTTTTCTTTTGTTTCTCTCTCTCTTTTATCCATCTTCACTTCCTTTCTCTCTGTCTCTTTCCTGATTTTCTTTTACCTCTATCCATCTTCACTTACTCTCTTTTTAGCTATCATTTCTCTTCTTCATCTGTCTTTACTTTCCATCTCCTTCCCTTTCTCCCTTTTTCTTCCAGATCACCCTTTTCTTTCCCTCCCCTTCCCCTTCTGCATTTTCTCCTCCTTTCACTTTCCTTAGCCTCTGCTTTTTGTCCCTCTTTTCTCTCCCTCTCCCTTTCCTCTTCTATTTGCCCCTGCCTCATTTTTCTCCCTCTCCATTTTCCTCTACTTTTTTTTTTACTCCTTCCCCTTCCCATTTTTTTCTCACCCTTTCTTTGACAAGTTATTTTTTCTCTCCTTCAACATCCCTCTCTTTTTCCTAATTCCCTCTACACCCCAATATATCTTTTCTCTCCTTCACTATTCTCCTCACTTTTTACTCAACCTCTTCCCAATTAACCTTTTCACTCTGCCATCCTCCTCCAATTTTTCTCTCCCTTGCCCTCCCAATCTGCCTCCTCTTTCTCTCCTCCTCCATCCCTCCCTCCATCCCTCTCCTTCTCCATCCTTCATTCCATCCCTCTCCTTCTCCATCCCTCCCTCCATCCCTCTCCTTCTCCATCCCTCCCTCCATCCCTCTCCTTCTCCATCCTTCATTCCATCCCTCTCCTTCTCCATCCTTCATTCCATCCCTCTCCTTCTCCATCCCTCCCTCCATCCCTCTCCTTCTCCATCCCTCCCTCCATCCCTCTCCTTCTCCATCCCTCCCTCCATCCCTCTCCTTCTCCATCCCTCCCTCCATCCCTCTCCTTCTCCATCCTTCATTCCATCCCTCTCCTTCTCCATCCCTCCCTCCATCCCTCTCCTTCTCCATCCCTCCCTCCATCCCTCTCCTTCTCCCTCACTCTGCCACATACCTTAAGAGAGTGAACAACAATATCTACTGTCCCCTCTTCTAGGGCAATTTCCAGCTCTTTAGTGAAGAGGCTTTTGCTGCCAATCTTGGATAAAGCAACATTCAGGATCTTGTCACCTTTGGTTTTCATAGTCACTGGAACAAAAAATTAAATAATTAAAGAAAACAACTACAAAAACTCATTTTAGCAGTAATGGACATGCAAGGAATGGAGGGCATAGAAATATGAAATATAAGGAAATATAGAAATAAACAAATAAATATGTGGAACTGAGAAATGTACAGGGAATTACATTCAGAAGTAGGAAACAGAAAGATCACAAGGATTAGCAATGAGAACCATATGGCAAATAAATAAAACTCTGCTAGTAATATTAATGGGAAGGCATGGGAGGAGAAGAGTGTATGAGAGGAATGGAAGAAATCTACAATACGGATATGAGAAATATAAACGGATTTAAATATATTCATAAATAAATACTTAAGTAATCAACTGGAACCAAGAAATAAAAGAGAATTGTGGAAACCTCTGATTGTAAATTTATATAAGAATATATGGAGCAATCTCTTCTTAACTGATACTGGTCAGAATTAATGTTTTTACAGTCTATTCTCACTTCCATTTACAGGTAATTATAACTGTCTAAATAACCAATTAAACAGCATTATATCACATAATGACATACTCAGTCACAAAAGTACATACATATTAGTGGGTTGTGTTACAATACTTTTGTAAAACTATTGCACATATAAACATAGTATTTATGCTTACCAATCTCAAATTTCATGTCTGGGTGTATCTTCTGCAGGGAATCTCTCACCATATATGTCTGTTTGAGGGCCAGCTGTTGAGAGGAAAATTATACTTGTTATTAAACAGTACCCTTTTAAATATTATCTTAATCATCACTACTTCATCATTATCTCTATTTTTACCCATATTATTATTACTATTACTGATATTACTATTATAATAATTACTGGATTACTGTTATTATTTTATAATTATCATTATCATTACTATTGTCATCTTTATTAAAAATTTAATGTTATCATTATCACAATCATCCTCATATTATCATAATCATTATCATCATCATCACCAACATTATCATTATTATTATTATTATTTCGTCATTACCATTGCTATCATCACTATCATTATTATCCTTGTTGCTATTATTATCAACATTTCTAGCAAATTTACTTAGCATCACTATCATTAACATCTTATATGTTACTGTCATTATTATCACAATCATACTATTCATTCTGCAAGACTATTTAATCAATCTATATCCCTGTTATCATTAGTATCATCACTATAACATTAATATAATACGCATTACTGTGACATTGCCACATTATCAGCATTATTAATATCACTATCAAAATGAACATTACTATCATAAGCAGTATCATTAATGTTATCACTCCCAGTACTACTAATATCATTTTTGTTATCATTATAGTTATCACTGTCATTATCAACATATAATTATCACTACAGTCGTCATTATTATCGTCCTCATCCATAAAATCAGTGTCATCTTTGTTAATATCTCTGTTATCATTACCAATATCATTATCAGTAGCGTTATCATTATCACAACCCTTCTGGGACAAAATCCGAGTTCCGCTTAATTCAAACAATACCGGTACTTCATTTTCAAACTATACAAACCATACAAACCAACCAAGGCGAGAATAAACAAATAACAAGAAACAAACAACACATTTCTACATATCTTTTTATAAACTCTTTTCTCCACTGATAAGAAGTCAAGTCACCGTGACCGCCGTACAATTTGCTGTATCATGCTACATTTTATTCTTCAATGACCGCCTCGCTTAACCATCCATGTTTCCGTCTTCACTGTATAAGAGGGAGAGATTGGTGTGAGGGGGGGAGGGGGGAGAGGAGAGGGAGAGAGAGGAGGGTAAGAAGACAGAGAGGTAGGGGAGGGGAGATAGGGGAGGGAGAGGGAGAGGGAGAGGGAGAGGGAGAGGGAGAGGGAGAGGGAGAGGGAGAGGGAGAGGGAGAGGAAAAGGGAGAGGGAGAAGGAGACTGAGATGCAGAAGGAAAGGGAGAGGGAGGGAGAGGGGGGGGAAGGTGAGGGTAAGAAGAGGGAAACGGGGAAGGAGACTAGGGGGAGAAGGGGAGGGTGAGGGAGAGAGGGAGGCAGGAAGAGAGAGAGAGAGAGAGAGAGAGAGAGAGAGAGAGAGAGAGAGAGAGAGAGAGAGAGAGAGAGAGAGAGAGAGAGAGAGAGAGAGAGAGAGGGGGGGGCACGCACGGATAGACGGAGGGAGGGCGGATGCACGCACGGATAGACGGATGGACGGACGGACGGACGGACGGACAGACAAACAGGCAGACAGACAGACAGGGCACTAGAAAACAAAGGGAAGAGGAGAGAGAGGAAGACGGTAAGAGATACGGAGAGACAGACAAAGCAGCGAAGAATTGAACAATGGTAATGGCCATGACAGCCTATCTTTGCAGATCTCAAGAGTACTTTCATTGTGTAGATCACGCAAGAACGAGCGCGCGCACACCCACACGCACACATGCACACACACACAAACACACACACACACACACACACACACACACACACACACACACACACACACACACACACACACACACACACACACACACACACACACACACACATACACACACACACATTTTTTTTCGTAACAACAGCGACCTCACAAACGAGTCGGAGAAATATGAAACCTAAACTTTAAAAAAAAGAAACAAAAAAAACGAAACCATTCATTTTATCGGGTATTGGCGCTATATAACAGGCCGACTTTCCCCAGTGGTTAAGAAGTGCCCTTCCACGACGAAAGTGCAAGACGCCATGACGAGGTCTCCACGCATTTTTTTCCCCCTTCTTCTCTCGAAAGTCTTCTCTTTCCTCACCTATTTCCAGCTGTTATTCGCTTGTTCTTTTTTTTCACTTTCTCTCTCTCTCTCGTTCTCTCACCTCCTACTTTCTCTCCTTCCTTCCTTCGGTTTATCTTTTAAAACGAACTTCAGGAGAAAGTTGAGACTGACAACTATCATGGAGGCAATGCAGAGACAGACAGATATTCAGACAGAGAGAAAAGGAGAAGGAGAGAGAGAGAGAGAGAGAGAGAGAGAGAGAGAGAGAGAGAGAGAGAGAGAGAGGGAGGAGGAGAGAGAGGAGAGAGAGGGGGAAGGAAGGGGGGAGAGGGGGAGAGGGAGAGAGGGAGGGAGGGAGGGAGAGAGAGAGAGAGAGAGAGAGAGAGAGAGAGAGAGAGAGAGAGAGAGAGAGAGAGAGAGAGAGAGAGAGAGAGAGAGAGAGAGGGGGGGGGGGAGAAGGAGAGTTAGAGGAAGAGGGAAGGAAGGGGGGAGAGGGAGAGAGGGAGGGAGGGAGGGAGGGAGGGAGGGAGAGAGAGAGAGAGAGAGAGAGAGAGAGAGAGAGAGAGAGAGAGAGAGAGAGAGAGAGAGAGAGAGAGAGAGAGAGAGAGAGAGAGAGAGAGAGAGAGAGGGAGAGAGAGAGAGAGAGGGGGGGGGGGAGAAGGAGAGTTAGAGGAAGAGGGAAGGAAGAGGGGAGAGGGGGAGAGGGAGAGAGGGAGGGAGGGAGGGAGGGAGAGGGAGAGAGAGAGAGAGAGAGAGAGAGAGAGAGAGAGAGAGAGAGAGAGAGAGAGAGAGAGAGAGAGAGAGAGAGAGAGAGAGAGAGAGAGAGAGAGAGAGAGGGAGAGAGAGAGAGAGAGGGGGGGGGGGAGAAGGAGAGTTAGAGGAAGAGGGAAGGAAGAGGGGAGAGGGGGAGAGGGAGAGAGGGAGGGAGGGAGGGAGGGAGGGAGAGGGAGAGGGAGAGGGAGAGGGAGAGAGAGAGAGAGAGAGAGAGAGAGAGA